ACTTACTTACCTACTCACTTACCTACTTACTTACTCAGCTACTTACCTCCTTACCTACCTACTTACCTCCTTACTTACCTTCCTACCCACTCACTTACCTACTCACTTAACTACTTACTTACTTACCTACTCTCTTAACTACTTACTTACTTACCTATCTACTTATTTATTTATTCCTGACTCATGGTCCTATAAATATACAAGATAAATATAAAACAGTAGAGGTAGACAAGTACTGCACCACGTTTGGTGTCAGTAAGTGAAAAGATGCTTTCAACCGACCGATAAAACTATACATTAACTTTCATAAAACAGCTTGTATTGGTTCTTGCTTTGACAAACATCTCACTCGCACTAATCCATCTCTGCCATTTCAAAAGTCTCAGCAAATCATCATTATCGGCCCCCAGTATGTAGACCACAGGTGAGCAGTGTACAGAGAGCTACAATATCATTTAAAAAGTTCCACCTTTACCACATCAGTACATGCACCGAATTTACTAGCAACAGTATTAGCTTGAGCGTACAATATTTTACATTGTCTACAGATTTCATCACTTCTTACAGATTCTCTGTGATGATTCGGCCAAGATATTTGGTTTTATTAGTAACACAAAGCACAGTATCTGACAGATGAAAGTCTGGAAACTGTAAATTCAGCTTTGCTGCAGAAGATCTTTTATACTCGGCAGGACAGATGAGCGTAGCCTATAGATACGGCTGATTAGCCTTCAGTGATCAAATACGTTGCAAAAACTAATCTAAAAATGAGCATTTATCCCTAATTTATGCAGGTTAATAAAATAATCTGTTCATAGAAATGCTATTCTGTCCTGGAAATAAGATAATTGGCTAAAATTAACCTAAGATTGGATAAAAATATATATTTTTTTGTTTGTTTTAAAGGTAAACCATCTTTATTTATTATTAACAAATATTCTTATTTACCTTCTGAAGTTAAGGGGAAAAATCCTCCTAATCAGGAAACATTGATTTAATCCCGTCTGAATCTGTCCCCCCCCCAGCTGGCAGACACCATCCCCGGCTCGGTCTTCCTGCTCTCCAGGGGAACCTTCACCAGCCCCCCCAACCTGCCTCCCTGGCGCAGCGGCTCTTCAGCCGTTTACAAAAAGAGCCACCGGAGGGCGCTGTCTTCGGAGAACGTTCCTGGCCTGGAGAGGCTGCTGAAAGCGTGGTCCCTGGCCGACGTCCCCCAGAACCCGGCCGCTGTGTCGGGACCAAAGGGAGCTCTGGATCCATGCGAGCCCCTGCTGCCCCTCCTGATGGGTCCGTGCATGGGCCTGTGGAGGGAGTGCTACCTGCGGGGGGCGCTCCACGCTCAGGTACGTGGGATTTGGTGAAGCTGTGATCCAACATGAGGACGTGTTTGTTCTCTGTGACGCTGAATGACGCCGATTATTCAACAGATCACATTTCTTCCTTTAAAAGCAGATCAGCTCAACCTGCTGATCAATAACTCCCAGTATGGGTGCAGCAGAGCACAGGCTCTGTGATGCATCCATCATCGTCACCATGGCGATGATAAGAATAGTCCACAGGCTCGTGGGCGGATGCGTCACCCGCTGCAGGGGGAGCCTGTTCAGCCGCTGACAGATCCAGCTCATGTTAACAGGAAGCGCTTCACAGATTTTCATCTCTGGAATCGTCCAAAAGATGCCAGAGATCATGATAGACTGCCGGTGAAACATAAACCTGAACATCCAGGGGAGGAAGTCTTTGCTAAATGGTTTTATTACGTCAAAATATGTCTGAATGAATTGAGCTCAACAGCCTGGAAACGAATAAACCATCACTGCTGCAAACAACCACTTCTGACACTTTCAGCCTCTTTTTCTGGGTGCAGAAAAATGAAACACTTCTTTGTTTTTAATTTATTGCCAAAGACTAAAGACCTTTTTCAGGATTTTAATTTGTGTCTTTTTTAGTCTTTTTAGCTTAATTGTAACAATATTTATTGGGGAAGTTAGCTTTAAAAAAACAGACAAACCAAACTTTATGGTTCCGTCTTTGCAAAAAGAGCTAAAAATATATAAAAATAGTTGTTTTTATTTTTTTTATTCTATTTTTACGTTTTTAAAACCTGTAAACAGAAACACGAGATTAAAATAAATCAATATCTTAAATCCTTAATAAATCATTTAAAAATAGTTGTAATTTGTAGAGATAGTTACTAACCAGTGTTGGTGGTTGGTTACTTTTTTATTAAAAAGTAATCTAATTACTATTCACATACTCCATACTCTGGCTTCCTCCTACAGTCCAAAAACATGACTGTTTAATTGGCTTCTCTAAGGTCCCATTAGGTGTGAGTGTGTGTGAATGGTTGTTTGTCCTGTTTGTCTCTGTGTTGCCTTGGCGACCTGTTCAGGGTGGACCCCGCCTCTCGCCCGTAATCAGCTGGAGATACGCACCAGCACCCCCCGCAATCCCACTTGGGATTAAGCGTTTCTGAAAATCGATGGATGGATGGATGTTGGTAATCCAGGCTGCACAGTAGCGCAGTGAGTAGCACTGCTGCCTTGCAGCAAGAAGGTTCCGGGTTAATTTCCCGGCCTGGAGTCTTTCTGCATGGAGTTTGCATGTTCTCCCTGAGCATGTGTGGGTTCTCTCCGGGTACTCCGGCTTCCTCCCACAGTCCAAAAAGATGATTGTTTGGTTTTTCGGCCTCTCTAAATTCTCCTTAGGTGTGAGTGTCTCTGAGTTGCCCTGGCGACCTGTCCATGGTTACCCCGCCTCTCACCCGTTGACAGCTGGAGGTAGACACCAGCACATCTGGCGACAGCAGCAGGGATAAAACGTGGTGGAAAATGGATGGATATTGGTAACGCATTACCTCAGAGCAATGAAAACGTCCCCATCATCTCGCTCTGCCACAGGGAGCTGAGATGGAGGAAAATGTTTCGCTAAAATGTGATTCAAACTCAACCATAGTGTAGAATTGTTATTTCTTATCTAATTCGTCACTTATGTATTTATTAGAAATGATCAAGTTTGGTTGTTTCTGTTCTGGT